ATTCTTTCCTTAAAAAAAAAAAAAAAAAAAAAAGATTGCTGTCCTCTCCATCTCAGATTCTAACTTCCTAGTGAAATGTACACTCAATTCTTGGGCTCTTCCCCGCCGCCCCCTCCATTTTTTTCAATGTCATGTGGTTATACTACTATTTCCTGATTTGTAGTTTTGGATATTTAGAGATTGCATATTATGGAAGATGAAAGACTTAGCCATTTTACATACCCCCAACTATCTTTCTGTAAAGCAAATATTTCTCTAATCCCCCAGCTTCAGCGCCAGAATACAGCCGCTTAGTACAGTGACAGCTGAAGTCCCAACACTTGGCCACAGCTCTAGACCAGCCCACTCCAGAAGGATGCACACACTGCAGCTGCATTCTCCCAAGATCATATGGGAATTATCCTTGTCTATGAAGATGCTTATAACACTTTTAAATGATTTTGGAATTCTGGAGCAGCAAGTAAACCACCAGTACCAAACCCTACAAAACAGGAATTTGGCAAATTGTTCATTAACTGGCTGTAAAAGTCAGGGACCCTCTAGCTCTATGCATCCCACTTTCCCTACGCACCCACTCTCCCAGGGAACCTCCATCCTTTGCAGACTCTAAACCCTCTGGCCTCAGAGTCCTCCACTGTAGGGGTTTGGGAGGAAGTCAATCTTAAGTTGGGGGGCAAACCAGCTCAGCTTATCCATGGAGCCAAACTGTTGATTTCTCAAGTTTATATGGGCCTCCTCGACTAGCTGTGCCAAAACAGTCTCCTCCACAAAGACAAAGACGTAGGGTCCTTGCTCTTCATCCCTCTCAGGCTCCCTAGCTCTGAGGTGAGGGAAATGAAAAGCTGACACAAGCATCAGCAAGCATGTGTGGACTCTAAGCAATGCCAAAAACTCCATTACTGAACACTGACTTTTGTGGGGGTGGTTGTGCTCTCTTCCCGACATTACTCATCGTATAAATTAGTACCAAATGGTGCAGGCCCTTGAATCCCCCCTATTTAACAGTGGCCATGTTCTGGACACCTAGGTAATGTGTTCACCTAGATCCATCATTGCAATTGAGAGGTGCTCTGTGGAGTAGAGAGGCGGTGAAGCAAACCCGCTCTAAAATGGGTTGCCTGACTATGGGTCCTCACCCACACGCTTAAAGGGGACTTAAAGTGCAGGCACATACTAAAAGTTAACAAAGGTTTATTTACAAGGGAAGGGGAATGAGGAAATGTACAACTCAAGGAGAAAAGAGGGAGATAAATTCTTAAATGCGTCCTACGCGTTCCACTGACCTGGAATCCCAAGTGACCCTCCAAGACCAAATCTACCTGGCCAAGAGCACTAACCCCACTAACATGGCTGGTTTTTATTTACAAACAGAGAAAATGGCTGCTTAACTCTGCCCTTAGGTCCTCACAACTTCCCTTTGGGGATCATGGGATTTGTAGTTCCCAGTGTCTTGATGGAGTGGGGGTGTCATCCACAAAGCCTGTATGGAATTCACTCATTCTTTCTTTTATAGATATGAATTCATCCTTTTCCCCTAACAAAGAGACTGTGCTTTTAGGCAGAGCTGAGTTGATGGGGGCAAGCAGCAGCACGAGGAGTCAGAGCTGAGAGTAAGCAATAATGCCAGGAGCTTACTCCTATTTGTAGATTCAGTGGAAAACACAGTGAGAAAAATATGACACAAAGCCCTCAAAATGACCCACCTTTAAAAAAAAATCACCTGCCCAGGGCAACAATAAAGCAAAGAATTTTCATACATTATTAAAAGCTATGAATGTGGACACTATCTGCTACCTATTGAGCACCTATACAGAAAGCTTTGTAAGGGTTGCAAGAACCAGAAGGGTGAAGAACCTGCCAATAATCCAATTAAATGAAGATTCATTCATTCACCAAATAAAATACAAAACCCCCCAAAGGGCAGGCTTTTAAGTGGCAAGAGAAATAAACAGAGACTTGTTGGAATTTTAAAGGAGAGAACAGTCGTGATCAGTTGAGAGAGACGCATTAGGACACATGAATGGAGAAACGGTGCCAAAATCCTGAAAAATCAAAATACTTGCTAATCAGGAGTCTCTGCCGGTGGCTCTGGCAGGAAAGGTAGGAACCCACACCAGGCTGGTGGCAGGGCACCAGAGAAGAGGCCTGGGAGCCTGTGGAGGCAGGAGAGATGGCGAATGGCAGCAGATGCCAGGGGAAGGCAGGTGTGCAGTATGTGTACATGCTCATGCGTGTGCACGCATACACGCACATACACACAAAACAGGATGCTCATTTCACTGAGGAAACTATGACATGGTTTTATCTTCCTGAGAAGTTGGGAGGGCAAACCAGAATGGAAGATAATCACAAGAGCTGGGGAGGGAAGTGTGACAGTAATAGTCCACACGGGGCGCAAGCACCCCAGTCGAAACCACCCCTCTCCACAGGGAGTTGGAGGCACCCCTTCTTGCCTTTATTCCCCAATGCAGTGTGTGCACCAATACCCTCGCCATAATGTCTTGTTTGCCTGAAATCAGGGAGCCCTGACTTTAGCAGCAGAAACAGAAAAGACATAGACTTGGTTCCTTAAGTTATACCTAAGTGTCTCATCTACATGCTGTTCTCTCAGAAAACTCCGTAATTCTGGTCCATCCTAAGTTGAAGAGGGTCTCATCACCATTAATACCCTTTCTGTAATAAGTGAGCTCTGAGTTCTGCACCTCTGTCTTACCAGCACATCCTAGAACACAAGCTTTGGGAGCTGCGAATATAGGAGTTGAAGCAGCTGCCCACTTCATTGGCTCCAGCTTTCAGACACCTCATTTACTGTCTTAGGATCTTGGGGAGCTCACAAACAAGTGGGGCCCAGTATGTAAACCTTGGATGACACTCCCATCCTTACATGGCATGTGTCCCAGTCATTAAGGCCTAACGACTGGGCTTTCTTTGGGGACGGAGAGATATCACTGCCAATAAAACCTTGTGTGTGAACAAATGGAATGAGGGCAGTGATCACACACCAGGCCCACACAAAATGCCATCAAGTGAGGCCCCGCCTCCAGTGAGTGTCTGGAAGCAGCAGGGCTATTTCTTCCCCTCCTTCCAGGCATTTGGTGTTATCCTATAGCAGCCCATTGATCCCCTGTGGATTAAAGGACAAAACCAGGAGGGATGCTGGCTTCCATCACTCCTGTCCCTCTTGTCCTCTCTTGAGTCTATAAATCACTTCTGGCAGGTAGCTGGGAAGCGCAGCTGCTAATGACAGTTTTGCTCTGGAGCACAGGAAGCCACCTTTTAACCTGCCTGCTGTTGTTTGTCTCTCAAAACGTGACAAAGGACAGATGTAAGCAACATGCCAACTGTTGAGAGGATCTGCTCGAGCACTATAGGAAGCCTGCTCAGAGCCACATCACACCAGCCGCTCCATGGAAGGACAACCGAGTTCATTTCCTGAAACCCCTACACACGCTCTGTTCACATCAGATTGGGATCGGTAATGTTGGGGCAACTCATCACACGCAGCCCTGCTTCTGCTCTGGCCCCTGGGGTTCCCCAGCCTCAAAGTTCCCCTGAATCCTGTTCAAATGCCACCAAGGTGCCATCCAGCAGCCTCACCTCCTAAGTGGTCATCTCTGGCCCCCAGACCTCCCCCTCGTCTCTGGGTCTCACCATCTGAGCCAGCCTCTATGCCTTCCAGGGGCCAGTCTCATCTCTGTACACACCATCTGTGATCTCCACAAGGGCTAGAGTGTGGTTGATACACCTCTAGTCCCAAAGTGGTGTTTTTCGAATCACTAAGTGCATGATGAGTGCATTAACAAAAAATTTAAAGGGTTGCAATGTATTTAGAACTTGAAATAAAAACTAGTTTATAAAAGACATCCTTGGGGCACCTGAGGAGCTATTGGGGAACTCTTAGATGATATGAAATTCCTATTAAAATTTTCTTAGATATAGTCTTGGTATTGTGGTAGTGTACAATGTCTTGTTTGAAGGTGATGTATGCTGAAGTACTTAGAAGGGAGCTTGCTTTCAATTGCATCAGCAATAAATGTGTATGTGTGCATTAGAAGAACCCACACATGCACACACAAATGCACAGAAAGCAAATGGAACAAAATGTTACAACTGCTGAATCTAGGCATAGCTTATATAGGTGTTCACTGTACTATTTTTTGAATGATTCTGTGGGCTTGAAAATTTTCAAAATAAAAAATAGAAGGACCTGAAAGAGAAGAGAAAAAAAATCAGGATGCGGGCATGAAGTATCAAGTGGCTTCAGGTGTCTGTGGATGTATGCATGTCCTAGATTTCATGTAAATGCATTTCTTACTGTGAGCCAGGCCAGTCTGATGCTACTACCCTGTAGCTCCTTGCTGCACCAAGCAGACAGCAAGCTGGAAATAAACCCTATGTTAATTACCTTCCAGAAGCACAGGATTTAAAAAAAGAAGCAAGCCGAGAAATTATTCGGTCTCCAGTTACATCCCATTAACTCAAACTGTGTCACAAACAGCCAAGCCCTTTCCTGCCATGGCGCACTGGAGCCTAACCTCAACTGGGCCTCCAAGCCTTTATCAGATGTCGAATTACTCATTGGGAAGGCTCTCCCAGGCTCTTCCCTCCATGCCAAGAGGGGATTGTGTTGCAAGCAAACTCCCGTAGGGTGACCAATTGCCTAGTTTGCTTGTGACTGAAGTGTTTCCCAAGACGAGGGCCTATCAGTGTTAGAGCTAGGAGAGTCCCAGGCAAACTGGACAGCTGGTTATCCTAACTAGGAAGATTCAAGAGAACCATAGACAGGTCTGAGAGCTTCCCCTTCAGGGCCATGTGGTGGATGGTGCTACAGCCACAGGTGTACAGGGTAAACCCAGCACAGCAAAAATTATGACAAGCAACCTTCCCTTGGCAACCTCAGAGCAACATCAGATGGCAAATCACTACGTCTCTCATGTCTTTAAACAGACCCTCTTTCTGATTATTCATCCATATTATCTGGAAAGCAAAAGGGAACTTACCGTAAAAACGTCATCATCGCCAAGCTCAGCTTCATTATGGATGGTGGAAGAAGATGTTGTGGAGCCTAAAAAAAGACCAAAAATTGCAATAAAAGGTGTTTCCAAGAAAATTAAGCCAAATGCCATCATTTGAAAGTATATTTTAAGGAAATCATATTCCATTCTTTTGCACGTAAGCTACCAATATGTTAACTTGGAATGAAATGCTTTTCATTTACTCTGTAACTGATTCTTGCCAGAATGTTCCCTTGTTCCCTATCAATCTCTCAAACTTCCATGCCGGCCACTTGGGAACAAACAGAGTCCCCATGGAGGGGAGGGGTGAGAGGAGAGCAGGCATCAGCAGGTCTCCCCCAGGAATCCTCTAGGTACCCTATGAAAGGGAAGCACACTGGACTGAACGCCCTGTTTAGAGCTGCCACAACTGCACTGTGTAAACTGGACTTAGTTCTGGGGTATTTTCATCTACCAGTGAGAGGGGATTTAACTGGTATGCCTGCTGCCTGTATTAAATCAGGCACCCAACACTAAAATCCACACTATGGGTGACACCTGGCTGACACCTGGGCAAAGGTGTCAATGTGAATACTGGTTTTCTCTTGCAACACCAGGGTGCCAGTGAGTTTTCTCCGTGTTGCAAGTCAAATGCAGGCTCAGGTCAACCCAATTAATTCCATCATGGAATGAACTGGTCATTTAGGGATCAATTTATTAGTTCATTCTTCATATTTTTCTTCATTCTGGTCTGCAAATTAGTGTACTGGCTTCATTTCCCACCTATTGTATTCAGTAATGAATGGCTCAACTTAACTGACATTGTTAAAGGAAAAACATGTTTAAGAGATGAAGATACCAAAAGGGAAATTTATTCTTTATCTTCTCCTTTTCTTGGTTAGGTCTTTAAAAATGTGCATTCAGGGCCTCCCCGGTGGCGCAGCGGTTGAGTGCTGGGTTGCGAAGCTGCCTGCAGTCTCTGCAGCACCGGGTTCGATCCCCGGCTGCTCCCCGGCCACCAGAGGAGGGTCCCACATGGCGTGCAGACCTCTCCTGCCACCCGCTGCTCCCCTCAGCAGTGTACTTCAGTCCTTCTGCCTGCTCTGCTCCCCGCTTTGGCTCTGGTGAATTCTCTCACCTCCCACACTTCTGACTGTAACCAGTGCTTGTATAAATAAAATAAAATAAATAAGTAAAGATAAATCTTTAAAAAAAAAAAGTGCATTTAGCAAATGCTACTACATAAAACCGAAATTCAAAGAATGGTTCAGAAAGTTATAACAAATACTGCAATTTCCATTGAGGAACACAGGAGGAAAAGTAACAGTTCCTCATTGTTCTCTGCAATTCTTTCTTTTTTTTTTTTTTAAGATTTATTTATTATTTATACAAGCACTGGGTACAGTCAGAAGCGTGGAGGGTGAGAGAATTCACCAGAGCCAGAGCGGGGAGCAGTGCAGGCAGAAGGGCCCAAGTACACTGCTGAGGGGAGCAGCGGGCACGGCAGGAGAGGTCTGCGCGCCATGTGGGACCCTTGCTGGCGGCCAGGGATCTAACTGCCACTGCAGAGGCTGCGGGCAGCTTCACAGCCCAGGGCTCAACCGCTGTGCCACCGGGGAGGCCCTCTCTATGCAATTCTTATTGATCTTTCAGGATTCTTTCTCTACAGTTTGAATTACTCTAGTCAATCAACATTTGAGGCAGGTTTGAAAGGAAACAGAATATATATATATATATATCAATCATATACACACGCACACACACATATATAAAAAAGTTACAAGTAGCAGAATCAATTTTGTGTGTAGCGTCAATGATAGAATACACAGACATATTACAGATTCTATCAAAAATATACGAGCGGAGTGATTTTCTCTCTAAACATTTAAAACCTATGTTTAATAACAACATTTTAAATATATGCCACTCACAGTGTGCACACTGGTTTTTACTATCCTTTTGGTTATATATGATTATAGTTAGCAGATTCACATTCTCACTATACTTGTCTTGCTACTGAAATTAAATGATTGTTTTAAGATCTGCTTGTCTCTCTTTCCCCAAATCTATAGTTAAGACTATGACTTTAGAACACTCTGATTTCATAAACAAATGAAACATACATTCTCTTGTGGTTAATTCCCCCAATTTCTGAATTTGGCTTTAATATGCCTTGCTTGATTAATTTTTATTTCGTGTGACCCTGGCTATGGCACCTTAACCCTCTAATTTGATAACTGTCGTGAAGTAGAGAAATTTGTGTGCTTCCATGGGTGGACTCTAGAAAGGTTCACCATGAGAAACTGACTGTCCACAGGCTTTCCAGGCAACCATCACATACACTACAATGTCTACTACCCACTCACTCACAGACTAAGACCTAAGCAGAACCCAGACTCTGAGAGTCACAGATCCCTTTGCTTTTCAGTGGCAACAGTAACCCCTGAGCTCTGGCTACAGGAAATCAGTTGGTAGGTTTGGAGTCTTCTTGGCCTATCA